CTCGAAAGGCACGCATGGTCAAGGGTCAAAGGAATACGCCAAGCAACAAAGGGGTGCCCCCCCCCCCCCCCGTGCCATTGGCAAAGTAGAACACCATGGGTGATTGGTCCTGTGGGGACAGTGCTCTCCGTTCTCTCGAGGAATGGTGGTCAATGATCTAACCGGTAAGGCATGCAACACATGAGATGATGCCACCCCCACGGTAATCAATTCTTGTGTGCGTGACACCGATGTTTCTCACCAGTTCGTCGTCAGTGGGGTCGGCCGCGAGGATGACGGTGTTGTCGCAGATAAGCTGGGGGCTCTCGTTAACCTTCACGGCGGAGTTCAGGCAGCCGTCCAGCGTGTTCTCGTACACCTGTCCCAGGCAACACGAAACCAGGTCAGTGTCAGTGTCGATCAGCAAACGTCCGAAGCGGTGTCATCATTTTGCCAGCCATTTACAAAGCAGGTCAACCCGCAAACGTCACAACTAGCGGTGTCATGATATGGTCAGCCATCACAGTAGCACCACGGCCAATAACGAACACAAAAAAGGCATCCCGATCGGACCCCTTCTATTTTTTTTTCTCGCACGCGAGGGGATGAAACCGTCACTAGCAATATGGCAGTACCACCGACCATACTCGACTCCATTCGTGCACGTGCTCAAGGGCAACCGACAGCTCAGAATGAAACGAAGGGGTGGGTACCTAAAAAAATAATCGCATCCACGCATCTCTCTCGGACACGCATGGATTCAACACCAGGAACTTTTTCACGCCTCTTTTGCTCTACTTTCCTCCTTGTCTTGTCTTCTCCGCAGTGTATCACCGACATGCATTCAACAACACTTTCCTCCTTCCTGTCTTCTCCGCATTGCGTCACCGACATGCATTCAACACAAGGACGCTTGGGTCACGTCTCTTGCTTATTTACCTCGTTGTCTTCTCCGTACTGCACGCCGTCCTCCTCGAAGCCCCCGACCCGGATGCAAGTCCCCGAGCCGTCGATGACGTGGTTGTCGACGACGATGTTTTCGTCTCCGCGGAGACTGATCCCTGGAACGTTCGTTGACGAGTAACGACGCCGTAGCAAATAAATGTATCTACTGTTCGCGCCCCTCATGGCAGTGAAGAAAAGTGAGCCCTGAAATACTCAAGAAGGTTCTTACTTCGTGCTGCTGTAGCAGTCCCCGAAAGCTCGATAAAGAACTCCCACACTAAAAACCTACATGTATAGCGGCCATTGGAATGCAGCATGACCTAAGGAACCAAGAAAAACACTGGTCTTGTCAAAACCTGGACTTTCTTTCGTGCGGGTGTTAACGATGCTGTCGTAGCGTTTAATGCATGGGTGGAATTGACGGTTGTGCCAAGGGCAGGGGAGGAGAGGACAGGGAATGGAAGAAACACAAAGTACCAGATAGATACGCAAGACGGCCACCAAGCTGTCTTGTTGAGCCTGTTACCCACAGGGGAGATATCGCTGTGTGCTCCTCGGGAAACCGTAGAGATAAAGGTAGCTTCCGCTGACGCTTTGAATTCATTGCTGATGTATCTCGGACTCTTTTCTATGAGAAGAGACGGATTTGTTGAGACATACTGAGAAAATAAGAAAACAGGCCTGTGCGGCGACTCAGAATAGACACGAGGAAACTGCTTGCTAGTTGCTTACCCCCGGTTTCTTCGTCCATCTGCCCCCTGATGGTGTTGCCGTAGACCACGTTACCGTACGACCCTTCCTTGATGTCAACACCCTCGCTACCCTGCGCAACCAAAAGGAGAGCGCGAAATTGGCAGAGGAGATCGGGGTTGGTTGGCTGGCCGGCGTTGCCCCATCACCACAAGGACGGGCGGATACGGTTTCAAACAGACAAAACTACATTGGGGGGGGATTGTTTAGCGCCGGTTGAACAGGGCCGGTGGCAGGTACAGCGCCGCGTTTTCGGCAGGCAGAGCCGGAATGACCAAAGTCGGTCTGTACTCTCTGGGCACATACTGGCACTAAACCGGAACCTTTACAGTACCGTATCAAACACAAACAAATGGGTGAAGACATTCAACACTGGAGTCTACCATACAACACATGTAGCACATGCGCATGCTATCTTAGTATATGGTACATGCCTGCGTGTCGATCTCGTTGTTCATGACCACGATGCCTGTGCACTCGTCCACGACGTCGTCCCCGTTCTTCTCATCGATCTGATTCAAAGCCGTCCCGATATCTGTCGTCCCGACACAGGGATGCAGAGGCCATCGGTAGCGGGGGGCGGGGCGGGGGAAAAAAGCCTATCGTCAAACATTCCCTACTGTAAAGTCAGCACATGAATAACATTGTACTATACATTTCGGGGAAGCAGCAAAGGGATTCGCTGCTGACGCGCATCGACTAAACTACTGTGTCCGTGTCCCGACAGTCTGAGCGAATGCCTCACGCGTGCCTGAGCACAAGGGCCTCGCCGTATAAACACTCATGATTTCTCTCTCTCTCTCTCCCGCTGACTCTGCTCTCTAAATTTCTTGCGGAGCGCCTCAAAAAGCAAGCACAGGCGTTTTTCTGGCCAACTCGAAAGAAAACCCGGGGTGGAGACAAACTTGGTAACGCATGTTTCGGCGACGGAAGAAACTGTCATGTATCTAGGCCACTTACAACACACACAACACACAACCGCGCCAGGTACAAAACCCCCAAAACCCCCAAATGCAGCAGTCTCGCCGACCTCGACTCTTCATCAAAACAAAAACGCATCGCATCGCATCTGTCCAGCAGCAAACTCCTGACAAAAAAGAGCACTGACAAGAACGATACACTCTTTCTAGGTGTCGTGAATTTGCTGCAGATACAGATGGATTCGTTGCGTCATATTAAGAAAAACAAAAAAAATACAAGACGAAAAACACTCCCGAACGAACGCATGGTACCTGTCCAACACAAGACTCATGACAAAGTACCAACAAGAACGATATATTTGTCTCGAGCTGTGTGTAAAATACCCCATCCCGTTCGACTCTGGTTTCATATCTAACGGGTAGATACTCTGTCTTTAGTCGCACCACATGTATATTTCCTAAAAATCAACTTCAAAGTAAACCGTTTTCGTACCTTTCCTAAACCTATAAAACGATGAAGACACAGTTAATACTCACAAACGCCCTCTCCGTTGGAACCGTCCGAGTCCTGTTGGAAGTCCTGTATCCCGCAGGGGCCGATCTCGTTCACCTGGACAACGCAGTTCGTGGCGAAGTACCTGATCCTCAAGCACTCCTTGCCCGCGTTTTTCAACACCATCCCCTGGACGTTGACGCCGGTAATCGACGAATCGACGCCGTCGACTTCACTGGGATCCCGCGAACCTGAGGGTCCATTCATCATTGGAGCGAGCGGGAGGGGGGGGGGGGGTATGCTAATGTAAACGCATGCCGTAGTCGCTAGAACGTTGACCACGCATCCTCGAGGGGAAGGACCGATCACCGATGGCTAGTCGCGGCCGAGGGAAAACGGCAACTGCCATTGGGGGAAAAGAGAAGCATCATTGTACAACACGCCGTTGTCGTTTCTGTTGTTTTTCGTACGAAAACACAAAGACTTCCTCTGCTCACCCTGTTATCATAAGAACCGCGTTGCTGTGTTTGTTGTTTTTCGTACAAAAACACAAAGACTTACTCTGCTTACCCTGTGTAATAAGAACAGCGGTAAGTATTTTGTTTTGTTTTGCTTCACCTTCTATGTAGAGGAGTTGTTCCTTGTAGTCGCCCGAACCATCGTCGCCGTCGATCGTGAAGCCCTGAACAAAACAAATGTACGGCAAGTAACGACGGTAACCTTTAGATGGCGAAATTCGATACCGTTATCTCTTTGGCAGTACGGACACTTGTGTGCCAAGATGCCCGACGCACAACACAACCAGGGGGACCCCCCTGCCACCCACCCACCTGGATGATGTAGTGGTTATGCAAGACTTCCAGGACCCTCGCGCGGTCATCCCCTCTCAGCACGCAGTCCTCTGCGGACGTCCCTAACTCATTCCTGATCGTGATCGGCTCGTCTTCCGTCCCATCCACCTGCGTCATCACATCACAAAGTGTTTCATTGCCGTCGGCGGATGCTTTTTTGTCGTCGGGCTACCTAGTTGGTCTGACACCTTCATATATCACGGTATATCCGTGCTATGTACAAGCAGTGGGGCGGGCTCATAGCGCCGGTGCCGGTATCATACCTGGAAAACCTCAGGGCACAGCCAAAGCCCTCTTTAAGATTATCACCACTAGCATGATCCCGAATAGTACTAAACCGGTCTCAACCTGGCTGTAGAGTGCCGATGGTTGGCGGGAACACGCACTAGTAAGTTCCAACCGAAATGAAGAAACGTGGCCGCGGCAGGCTGAAACGACACGAAAAGGTACAGCAGCAGATACCACGGCGAAGACCCCATGGAAATGGCATCAGAAAATTCCACCGTTGCGGTGAGGTCACTGCCAGGTTGTTGACGAGGGAGCCAACAAGCTCAACCCCCGCTATAAACGCATTCCCCTGAGACTGGAAGCATTGGCTTACATCAGAATGCCGAGAGGCTCGTGTTTTCGCTATGGAAGCGTTGGTCCAAGCTTGTCAAAGGTCGTATCATATCAGCGCCTAAGGCGCCGATGACAAGAGCGGTGAACCACGTCGCAATCCGACGCAGACAACAACAAAGCAAAGCAGCAGCAGCAACGATGAAAAACCACGTTCTGAAGACTTACCACCGTAGTCAAGCTGACGTCATGCGTGCCCGCCGGGATGTAGATGGTGTCCCCTGGCGATGCATCGTCCAGCAACGCCTGCAGAGACATAGGAACCGAAAGCACACGGGGGAGAACGGAGACAGAACATTGGGTATCCACCCTACATTGTAGCATAGCAGCACAAGCGTGTCAGCGCGTGAAGAGCGCTTCAATGTTAGCGTGAACCTTCCTTCTCCGTTGAAAGATGGTGTGCTTGCTCGTTCACGATAAATCTCCTTGGACTGTTGTGGGATCATCTTGAACGGGTAGCCCATTCTTGAGTATCTTTTCTGCGAAAAATTGGGGGGCAACTTACACACCCACCAAGAACAAAGGCCGTCCTTGTTACTGCGATGGGCTGGTATGGTCGAGCGCGGTCGAGAGACCCAACCCACCCTCACACACGCTCACGCTTGTTCGTTACCTGGAGGTCGCTATCCACGTCCCTCGAGTCGGCGAAGTCACCGCTGTCGGAGCTGCTGTTGTTGTCTTCGGCGACCTCGACGAGCGCAATGATTCCCCATGTTACCAGTGCCACCAGCACTACTATCGCGAAACCGAAGAACGCTCCTCCGCGGGCCGGCATGGTCAACAACCTCCTCTAATACGTGGGGGCAAACACCACAAGAAAACATGAGTCAGAGGTCGTGGGTGGGGTTGGTTAAATGCTGCTGCAGGGCCGGACAAGTTCGTTTTTTTTTTTTTTCCTCATGAAAGGTCGCGAGAGGGAAAAAAAGAGCCGGCACGGTGAGATAGTGTCTACTATGTATGCACATGCCAACAGCAGTGAGAGCGTCGTGACACTCTTTCTTCCCTGTGGAAAAATGAGGGGGCTGTCGTCATAACAAAGAGTAGGACGAAAACCTATCACACAGATAGGTTAGGTTCGTTGGTTTGTCTCTTTGGAGGAGGTTGTAGTCCTCCGCCTCTTCTGGCGGGTAAACGGCCTCTTCATTGGCCCATGGTAAAGCGTGGCGGGCCGGGGGCTGTTCTTTCCGTTCTCGTTGCTCACGGACAGATGCGGTATCATTCTGTTCTTATGGCCGCGGTTTGACAGCAGGCACGTATGCGCGCATGTAAAAACTCTTGCGGGGAGAGCAATTGAAACCGACACAATATTTATCAGCGTGGGACTGCATGGTATGGCGGCGGGCGCCATCGAAAGTTCCACGCACCTAATGTGCAAGCACTTGCTAATCGCCCCCTCAGAAAACGTTCCTACCAAGTGAGAGACAGACGCAGCGTTATGATTGGGCCGCGGATGCGTTTACTACTACTGCTGTACTACGGTGTCTACTCTATTCTTGAACAGATCTGTCGCGAAGACTCGCCGATTGACGCATGTATGATACAGAGCAACGAGCCAGCGGCAGAGAGGATGCGCGGTGATACCTGCCCGTTCAATCACGTAGCACGGGGCGGTCTTAGACTGACTAGTTTCCATGGTCGCAATTTTTCCTTGCACACACGCACGCGCTTGAACTAAACCCTTACCGTGGCTCCCACAGAGAAGTGGTTGGTGTTGAGTCGGTGACGACAGCAATTTTGAGCAAACGCCGCAGCAATCTGGGAGCTGCAAAAATGCGCGAACTTTAGACTCTTGTCTCTCCGCCTATCGACGGCGGGCTGCACTGTGCGGGAAAACATTTGCTATTCAAAGAGTACATACATAATCGAACACGTCGCGTGTCCGCCGCATCAAAGTGCCGATCGCTCCCTTGTTCTTGACCAAAATTCGAAGAAAAAAAAAAAGCACTCGTGAGAACATGCCCAATGGCGACACAGCCTCCAAGGCCGGTAATTGAGAAAAACTCACGACGGCCATGGCGGAAAGCAATTCCGGGACCTGCGGAACGTTGGGATAGGCGATTTCGTGGCCCTCCTGCAGTAGGAGGAACGGAGCACACCCTGGAAATATCTGGCACACACCTCACGCTATTTGTATGCATAGGTTGGGCGGAAAGGAAAGATCACGTTGTTGCAAGAAGCACGGCTGTCAAAAGAGACGCGTGCGTTTGCGTCTCATGCGCAGAGACTTTGCGTTGCAACTCGCCACCTCTTGGCTGCACCAACATTGCCAGCGTGAGTGTGCTGGTTGTTCATGAGCACTAGCAACAAGTCGGCGACACATCCAGAAGAGGAGCGAGGGGTGCACCAAAACTGCTACAGCTCAGGGTCCCCCGTTTCAACTTCGGTCTGATGAAGGGAGGTTATGGACTAATCGGGCGAACTCAACAAAACTCACTCCACCCTACTGCTGCTGCCCACTGCTGCAGGCACACTGGTTGAATTGCCGGCGTTCGCCTGTTTCTCTCACCTTACTCGTGAAGGCGCGGCCCTTTCTCCCACGCGAGACAGCCCTCTTGCACCGGACACGGGTGGGTGGTGTTGACTCGCGCACCTAAACAGCAATTAATCCGTCTCGACACGGTGGCCTCTGCTGATGATCTCTCCCAATGCCCTTTCCTCTGCAGCAGCACGCGCGAACAGCACAGCACCGCCTTGACGAAAGAGGGAACCTGTCGAGTCCGGGACTGGATGAAAGCGCCTCCAAGCCAGCAGCGGTCGATAGCAGTTGTTCAAGGGAAACGCGTGTATGTGTATGTTGGTGTACACAGCACTTGTACGGAATTCTGTCTTGGTTTTCGTGTTTGGAGGACCCTGAAAACTCTTGCCGAATAATCTGGAAATGTTCGTAGATTGCGGAGATGAGCTGCACTTGTTGTACATTGATCCCGGTTCACGGAGCCCCCCTCCCTCCAAGTGGGGCGCGAATATTTGCAATCCATGGATTATAAAAGAGAACCACAGCTCTCCGCCGCCGTGATTATCGCTGCTTTTATAGGAGAGGGAGAAGAACCTCTTCGGGGACACTCCGGGCGGTTTCCCGGGGTTTCGATCCATATGGATGTTTGGACTGTGGTTCTCTTCTATAATCCATGGATTGCAAATATTCGCGCCCCTCCAAGTGTCCAAGGACAAGATCTTCCGTTTCACATGACATCAACCAACATGCCAACCGCACTCGGTAGCAGGAAGAGTATACCAACCACCTTCCACACGTGGCACAGCTGCTGGAAACAACGCAGTAAAACTCCGGTGAGCACAGGCAGGGACAGAGCTGCTCTTTCACGAACGATGACACTGATGACACTACTTGTACATACCATATATATATCTCAAGCGCGTATAGACTTGTACACCAGCAGTCTACGGCCCAGTGCAGCCGTAGCCCGAACATCATGTTCCCACCAGTATATATGTACCTCGATCAGGTGCTTGCAGCCATGACTTCTGGGCGCCTCTCTCTCCCCTCCCCCTCCCCGAAGTTTCGAAACTGTTGCCATTCGGTTGGGTGTCCCACCAATGAGGCTGGTAGAGGCAGTAGGCCTTAGACTAGTCTACATAATCTACAATGTGCGGAGGCCACCGTTCTGAAGACTAATGCGCCCATAAGACTCGATGCTGACCGACTTTTCGTCAAACGGAACACACGGGTTCCATTCTATGCACTACAGCAGTTATTTCGAGCAGCAGGCATATCCGCCTAGATATGTGCGCGGAGATGAGGGTCTCGTTGGAAATCGATCCCGAGTACCCAATGCACATGAATGACAGGTGATGGCTATCTGGCTGTGGTCAACATTTCTGCATGGATTTCAAGTTGACGATGGTCGCAGGGTTTCAAACATAAAACAGTAGAAACAAAAATGCTCACCATGTGGGACAAAGTACGCAGCCAACTGACAGCTGCGCAAGCTCCTCAGCCGTTTCCGGGCGTCGCATGCTATCCAAGCCTCAACTGCTGACGAGATCACACGATGATGGAGGAGGTGTTTGTTTGTGGACAAATGATCGTTTGATCTCGCTAATACAACTTTTTGGGGCATGCAACTTGGGGCATGATGAAGACACCTGCTCCACGAGCTGCCATGATAGTCACAGCAGTACAGTGTAGTCAGCCGTGTGAATTCGAAACCCGTGCTGAACACTTGAGGTCTTCTATTCTCGGAGACAGAAGCGACATGACCCTTGGATGGAAAATATACGATATCTAGTACTGCTGTGGATCAAACGCATTGTTAATCCGAAAGACTTTCTGGACTGGACTTTCATCGGCGCCCCGAGCCATCACCGCGACGGCTAGGCAGCAAAACGGTCATTGGTCGCCACGGCCTCAGTCCCTTCGGGGGAAAAGCTGTCCATCCTCTACCGGCCGAGCAGACTTGCCCTTGCAGGATTGTCCGTTGTTGCGAGGTCATTTCGGGTATGTATGTACACGGTTAGAGCATTTGGCTCGCGGAGGCCACGCTCCCATTCATTGTTGATCCCTGGTGACCACGCCCAACCCTAGAGAGGGGCAATTTTCGGGCCAATGTATTAGCTTCGGGCAGTCGAGTCTCAAGCCTACAATGCTCTACGTGCGCGTTCCACGACCTACAAGGCGTTTTGAATCCAGCCATCGGTACGTGTGCCGATCGTGCACGGATCTTTGGTCGCACGCTGACAAAGTAGCACGTGGTCCAACTACCCGTGTGACGACTATCGCAAGACTCCAGGTAGGAAACAGCAGCGGACGCTTAGATATTGGCTGACAATAATGGCACATCGAAATCAACAAACTCGTCTCTTGTGGTACTGACTTAGAAAAACATGCCGATTCGGTAGACTGGTCGGCCGGCTCCCGAGCAAAAAAACTGCCGGAAAAACCAAGCAATACTATCGATCAACAGGGAAGACATACAGTTTCTACACGCCCTGATCCTGAAAACGAAATGTCTCATGAGGAGAGGCAGGGCATCTGGCAACACGATCAAGCGGGGCCCCATGCTGCTTGCGATGTCTACAGAGCTATGGGGCTACAACAAACACCAAAGAAGACCGATCCGACTCAAACAGATAAAAAACCATCCGCAACACTTGGCGCCAAGAACAACGCGAAATCCTAACAAAAGGAGCCAAACGATCAAGCGGGGCTCCATGCAGCTTAGCAATGTCCACAGAGCTACCGTATGGAGCTACAACAAACACCGTGTAAGACTCAAACAATCAATCCAATAGAAAACAAAAATCATCCGCAACACTTGGCGGCGAAACCAACGACACGAAATCCTGACAAGAGGAGCAAAACGTCAAGCGGGGTCCCATAATGCTTACTGATGTCTACAGAGCTACGGAGCTACAACAAAAATAAGACCGGTCCGACTCCGGTCCGACTCAAACAACCAATCCAACCGAGAACAAAAATAATCGCAATAACACGAAATCCTGACAAGAGGAGCTGCTCCCGGCAACCCTTCTTCGTAAACCATTCCATCAAACTGAGCAACACCGCCGCGGACGAATCGTTTTCGCAAGAAATCCCTGCACGGTGACACATCCAGCTTACAACCACCAACACAGTAACAGTCTTTCGTTAGGGCAGCTAAAAAAAAGTACAGGCGGCCAGCAAGAGAGCCTCGACCAATCAAAATCCCACGCGTGGCGCCCTTCGATCAAATTCGATCAAACGCGTAGCGGCCTTAAATTACCCACGAAGAACACAAAAACAACGTGTGACAGGATGGTATCCACAGTGCCGCGTGAAAGTATAAATAACGGACTTTGTCCTCAAGTGCGACTCACGATACGGTATACAGGCTGCAAGAGCTTGACGCGTGTGGACTAAGGGTTTAACAAGAGGGTGACACAAGCTCCCCCCCAATACAATCTAGCCCCCCAGGGGTTTGCAAACAAACCGGTCCGCGTGGAGTCCATTCACGAATCGGACTGGTTCTAACGTCACTGGTGGTGCATACATCTCTACTGCTGGCCAAAATGCTCGCAACAAGGCTCACGAGGCGCATGACGTAGCCGGCTGCACGGCGTGGATCATGCAGATACGATACAACGGCATAGCACGTAATGCCGTAAAACACCGACACGCGGGCTCGAACCATTCAACTGTATACTTGTTCATATCACAGTAAGCAGGGCGTCCCGCTGCAAAAACAATCGATCACGTTCTCGCTGAAAGCACCGCAAAAATAAGCAGAATAATACAGAAGGCCTTAACACACAAGTCCGCCCGTACTCCTTAAAAAAAATCAGACAACCCCCGAACTACAAATGCTTTTGTTACGGGACCAGGGCAAACTTGTATCGTACACGAGACGACACCAAATAGAGCAAGTAGGAGCACCCCGGCCATTTACAAAAACAGTGATCGCATGACTATTCGGAGGCCTTCTTAGGTAGCGCACCTATTCTCCTCGACCAACACAATCGGCCTCATCTCTTATCGCCCTGCTCTTCCTTCGTGCCTCCGCTTCACACCCATTCCGTCTCTCTCTCAGGGCTATCGCTGTCTCCTCCCCGTCTCTTACCCTCCCACCAGTCGTCCCTGCACAGGCCTCCTCCGTCTGGGCTAAACCCGTCGGCGCTGAGGCGAGGGTCAGTCCGTTTCTTGACGGTGTCGTTGCAAGATGCTTCTTGTTGCTGCTGAATCTTACGCGAAGCTGCCCCGGGGACTTTCGAAGAATTTTCCTGCGGGCACGTCGACGCCGCCCCGGCACGGGAGTCCCGCTCAATGCCCCGATGAGGAGACGCAGGTATGCCTTGGAAAACAGGATGCCCATCAGCTGCGATTGCTCCGGCTGGATGGGCGTGAGGGCAACACGGATGAAACGGGGAGGGGAGGAGAGGGTTCGTGTGTCAAAGGCTCGCACACGGGTGGCATCGGGGCAAGAGTAGCGCAACCCCCTTCTTGTTGCTACGAGTCGAACCCCCAGAGGCTACAAGAAGCGTGTCTTGTTCCGTGAACTCGACGGTTGACCATATTCGGAG